CAGCAACAGCTGCTTCTGCGGCTGCTCCACCGCAGCAGCAGCAGCAGCTGCTGCTGCTGCTGATGCGCTGCTGCAGCCGCTGCTGCTGCTGCTGCTGATGCGCTGCTGCAGCCGCTGCTGCTGCTGCTGCTGCTGCGTGCAGAGCTACCCAGTGAACCTGGAGTGGGACAACGTGGCGGGGTTGTCGCCGGAAAACCAAGAAGAGCGGCCGTGGTGGTACAGCCACGTGCACTACCCGACGCGGCGCGCAGTGCAGCGAGCTTTCGAAGAAGGAGTCGAAGATTTCCGAAAAGTGATTGAGTCGGAGTTCAAGTTGCTGCAGGAACACGACCGCAGAGAGGCGAAGCGCCTGGCGCACCTGCAGGCGCAGAAAGAGCGGCGAAAGCAGGGGCTCTGAGCGGCCAGCGCGGACTCCGGAAACTCCGCGAAAAAAGGGTCCCCAGAGGGAACTTTTTGCTTTTTGCAAAGGCTTTTGAGCTTCCACGTGCGGCGAACTTTATTTCCAACGCGAAGCGCGGAAAAGATCGCAGCCCAGCGGCTAGTTCAACTTTTCTGCAACTCGCGCCCAGCTCCTCGCCGGAAAACATGAACGGGGGGCTGCCGCCGCGGCCGAGCCGATTACTAGTTAACTTCTTCTTTTTTCACGTTTTAATTAATCTAATGGTGCTTTTGAACAGGGAGATCAGCGAAAAGAAGGAATTTTTTTTCGCGGTTTCAGGAGCTGCGCATACACCCGAGCGCGCGGGCCGCTAATTTCCTGCTGGCTGGGGAAGCAGCAAACTCGAAACAAATTCGAAATGGCATTTCATTGAACTTTAGAATGCAAAGTTTCCACGGAAATGGTCTATTTAGAGCCGCGAGGACTCCGCATGTGTTTCTGCCGCTGCGCTGCTGCTCATGTTTTCTTCTTTTGCTGCCTCTGCTGCTTTCCCCCGCGGGCGCGCTGCTGGCCCGCGAACGCTCCAAGTTCCTCCCCGGGCTGATGAAGCCAACGCCTCCGAGAATCGGTGACTCGAAACAAAAAAGAAAATCATTTCTTTCAAGAAGAGCTGCCCGCAGAGGTCAAGCTCATGCCCAACAAGCGCTTCCGCCTGACCCGAAAAGAAGTGGAAAGCATCGCCTCCGAGCTCAAACAAGAAATCCAGGAACAGGCAAATCAGCTTTAAAACGAATAAACGCCATTTCCCTTCATTTGCTGCCTGGGGGCCCCACGCTTCAGGTGGCCAGAGTGCAGCAGCAGTTCGCGCCCAGCCGCCAGGGGCCCCCGGGGCCCCTGTACCCTCTCGGGGCCCCCACGGGGGCCCCCGGGGCCCCTGCTGCGGTAAGAAAACAAGGACATGCAAATGTTGCAAATTTAATTTTTTGAATTTCAGGGATTTCGGCAACTGGAGAAGACGCAGCAGCCGCTGCTGCTGCGGGCGATGGTGGGATTTGTTTTGAATTTGGAATAAAATATTTATTTAAGATCATTTTTAAAATTCATTTAAATGCCGTTCCTTAAAATGCTGCCTACAGTTTAAATAAATGTTCAAATAATTAATTCAAATAATAAATAATGTTGTTGGTCAAGCAACTGCTGCTGCTTATGGAAGCTGCTGCAGCAAGTGCCGCAGCGGGAAGCAGCAGCAGCAGCAGCAGCACCAGCAGCAGCAGCAGCAGATGAAGCAGAAAAGACTCGCAGCAGCCTGGGGGCCCTGTTCGAGTCTTTGGAAGAGGTAAGAAAATAAAAAAATGAAAAAAAGAAAACTAAAAAAAGAAGAAGCAGATCTCTGAGGTGTCTAGACATCTCGACGAGCAGGAGGCGCAGACACTTCCAGATGGTAAATTCATTTCTTTTATTTCCTTTTTTTATTTTTCTTTATTTTATTTTTTTTTATCTTTTAAAACTAACTTCGCCTCCAGGGCCTCTCTGAAGCTTCACTTAAACTGCTGCTGCTGCTGCAGATTTGCTGCTGCTGCTGCTGTTTATTTCATTTAATTTCAATTTTTTTCTTTTTCATTTTTGAAAAGTTTGTACATTTCTGTTTCCCTTTGCTTTCCGCGAGTAGTTCTCATTGGCTTCAAGTTGCTGCTGCTGACGCATTGGCAGCAGCAGCAGCAGTGGCGGCGGCTGCTGCTGCTGCTGCTGCTGCGGCTGCTGCAGTTGTAGCAACAGCTACAGCTTCTGCGCCGTTCAACAGCTGTTGCTGCTGCTGCTGCTCCTGCTGCTGCTGCTCCTGCTGCTGCTCCTGCTGTTGGTCAGCAGCAGCAGATGAAGTGTAGCTGCGAAATGCTGAGGGGAGTTAAAGAACTTTTTTCTGGTTTTAAGACGATGACACAAATGCATGCAGCAACAGCAATTACGAAGGAGGAGTTTGGGGGGGCCCAGACAAGAGTTGAATATCTTTTAAATTAAAGTAAAATAATAGTTATAATATTAATTTGAACTAAATAAATAATTTGAATTAAAAATAAATATCGGTCTGCAGCGGAAAGGCAGAACTGCGGGCGGTGAACCACTTCTGCTGCTGCAGCAGCAGCAACAGCGGCGGCGAGGTTGCTGCTGCAGCTGAGGCTGGTTCGTCTTTCAAACTCTTCTTTTCGCTGCTGCATAAAATTAAATATTTTAATTAAATTAAAAAAATAAAAAAGATAAGAAAGACAGGAGGAGATCAGCAGCACACAGCAGCTCCTCTTGACATGCAGCTCAGCAGCAGCCAGCAAGACCGGTGTGTTGATTCGCTCCCAAACCCTAAACCCTAAACCCTAAACCCTAAGCCCTACTTCCTGAAAAGGTATTTATTTTGCTGTTTTAAGCCGAAGAAGACAGTCAAAAGAGCCGCAAACCTCTCCGCCCCTCGCTCCACCATTTCAATGTTTTCGCCCAACCCTAAACCCTGAACACTAAACCCTAAACCCTATACCCTAAACCCTAAACCCTAAACCCTGGACCCTGCAACTTGACCCAAGCTCTAAACCCTTTTTTCAATTTCTAAAAAGCTGCTCGTGTCTTCCTGCTTTGTTTAAAAAGTTTAAAAGAAGTATGCCTTTCTTTGGAGGCCCCCAGAACTCTGCTGCTGCTGCTGCTGCTGCTGCTGCTGCTGCTCGGCGTAGGGTGAGGGGCCCCCAGCAGCTAGCCAGCTAGTTGCTGCTTTCTTCTTTTCTTTTCCAAGAAGCTCCACCCCAGACCTCTCCAGCAACTCAGCCCTAAACACTAAACCCTAAACCCTAAACCCTAAACCCTAAACCCTTCTGACTTATGTCCTGCGACAAGCCAACCCTCCCTTCTTGTGAGGGGGAAACTCCCCCTGAGCCCTCCTCAGCAAGTGTACCCTCTCAAGAACTCCTAGGGGGCCCCTCGGGGGGCCCCTCTGGGGGCCCCCAAGGGGGGCCCCCTGGGGGCCCCCCAGGGGGCTCCCCAGGGGGCCCCCCAGGGGGCCCCCCTGGGGGCC